TCAAAATTCATTTGCTCGAAGCTCAACAAAGTAAATGACAGACAATCGAATACCGTTGAGAATTCATATGAATTTTCTCAAGGGATCCAGAACATTAGGTTGGTGGGTCGGAACTGTTGGTGAGTTTCGATGTACAATCCATATACACAAACATCTAAAGTGAGAAGGCGCCTTGCTGGAGGTATTGGAGCGAGAAGAGGAGACCTGGAGGCAGAACTGATACGGAAAGAATCGTTAACACGACTGATCAACCTGACAGTAAGAACCACGTTTTTACATTAAACGGCAGTATCTACGAGTAAATATTTGGACTACCGATTGGATCTCCACTCTCGCCTCTTTTGGCAAATGTGTACATGGGCAAGTTGGAAAGAAAATTCGAAAAGTCACCACTGGAACCAAGAGTGCTGATGCGATACTTTGATGACTACTTTGCACTTTGGTGACATGGTAAGGAAAATCTAAATGAATTCCTCAATTTTATTAACCAACTTGATGAAAAATTAAATTCACAATGGAGATGGAGGAGGATGAACGATTACCATTTCTGGATATTGAAGTCATGCGCTCATGAGGAGACTGAACAGAAAGAATTCATTCGCAGGAATAATCCTTAATTTTCAGTCTCATCATTATGATCGGAATAGTGAGGAGTTTGATCACCAGAAGCTTGCGACTAACGGACACTGAGTTCTGGAACCAGGAGTTGGACAAACTGACACGGATTTGCCTTAGTAGTGGATACCCCAGAGAATTTAGAGAAAAAAATGCAGTGGTTATAGAGGGCCGATTTGAACTTGGATTTTATGAAAATCAGTTCAAGAATCAGGATGACAACCAAAAGTGGATTTGCCTGCCCTCATCTGAACTGAGCCAACAATTGCGACCGTCACTAAGGAAATGAAATATCAAGGTTATAACAAAGGAGAAGAAAACACTTTTCCCCAGTCTGTTGATGCAACACGAGAAGACAGACAAACTTGATTGCTCGGGAGTTTATCGCATCAAATGTGACAACTTTGAGCAGAAGTATATTGGTGAAACAGGAAGAAAAATCGGCCTACGAATCAAGAAACATCTAAGATTCTGCATGAACATGGATACGGAAAGATCCGAAATAGCACGAACGGGGCACGAGATCGACTGGAAAACGCAAGATTCGAGACGCCATTGATATACTGAACGAGAGAAATCGAATGAAGAGGAGACATGAAGAAGGCAGGATCGGCGAAAACTTTGCATATTACCTAAAAATACTCGGAGAAGTCCAGAAGAAAGAAGACGACTGAATCAAGGTAATATACTTAATTTTAGGAAAGGAGATCGCATGTGGACGAGAAAAGAACAATGGGAAGCAGAGCCTAATCAAAACAGGTAGAACCACGACAATTGTGTGTTGGCACACAAGAGACTAGGACATAGGAAGTGATTGACATGGTATTAAAGATAGAAAGAGGAAAGACGCGGTAGAGACTAAAGTTATTTGGCTAACAATAGACGTGTTTGATCATAGACGTGATCCTTGAATCACGACTAGTGTTAGCCAACTAGCTCTAGCTTCCACTACTTCTATCCTCTTTCTATCTATAATACCAAGTCTATGACTTCCTATGCCCTAGTCTACTGTGTGCCAACCCACAAACGTTGGGGTTCAACATTGAAGCAAATCAAAGCAAGCAGTACCACAACATTTGTGGGTTAGAACACAAGATACTAAGGTATAACAACTCATAGGCTTTGTATTAGGGATAGAAACAGGATAGACACGGCAGGGACTGAAGCATGTTGGTTGACATTAGTTTTTACCAGAGACGTGAATCATGTAGCAAAGGCGTGACCATGAGACTTACTCAGAGGCTTTAGCCTCGAATTAGTGACCCAGACGCAGGGCAGGGCAATTAACGCCTCGAGTAGCACAATTGAGGTGGCAGGGGTCGAGTGAAGTACATGGACCATGAAGATAGCAGACGGATTCTACGGAGCAAGAGAGACTGTGGTAAGGCCTAGGGAAGGAGGACTGCGTAACAATATGGCAGACTCTGATCAACATTCCCAGCCCAAGGGTGAAGGGGGTGAAAACGACAGCGTGGAGTATGAAGGGTGTTCATGAATGCCACTCAAAGGAGCACACCACACTACATCTAAATAAGCACGGTAAAAATTATAACAATGAAGGCGTGATACGAGGATATAAGAAATTTGAATAGCCCAGGGCAGAAGGAGAGATACCACAACTGTTAAGCACACGTTTGGTCAAAGGATCGGCTTCACTTGTCTCTTTTATGAGTTGTGTGATGCTAAGAATAGCGAGACTCATTGATGATGCCGGCTAAACGTTTGGGAATGCACTATGTCCACGGTCCTACTCTGAAAAGTATCATGCATACACTGGACTCCGGACTAGGTGCGTTCCTCTAAGTCTTCCTACCAATATGACCAAATTATGAAAACAAGGTCAAACAACATCTAGTCTTTGATATTGTCAATAATTCTTTGATAAGGAAAGTAAGGAAATATAGGTTTTTCTATCCACTATCCCTCTATAAATGCGATATGAGAGAGACCTGCTTGACTCAAAATTAAAGTCTTCCATATTACTTAATAGTGTCTGTTGGTGTGGCGTATTGGTAAGGTGTTGCCACTCTATACACACTCCCGGATCCGATTCCTGATGGGATGTTGATAAGACCTGGGTAAGGTCGAAAGTGCAATCTATCTTCAGCGATAATATATCTAGGGAGGTAAGGCCAGATAAAATTCGCTAAGATGATGAGGCTTACTTCAATCATTGTCGGAACCAAGGGTGACTACAGTTCATATCTTAGGTACATTTACAGTATCGAAACATTCAAATTATGAATATTCCCTGGACTTTAATTCCATCTCTTCTTGTATATATTGAGGATGCCAAATATGCTCTATCATATCTTACTACT